TCTCTTTTTCTGATCCTACTTTTTTCTGTGGATATGATTTTACAAAATTGATCTCATTGTGTATAAGTCATCCTGTTATTTACTTTTGTGACTTATAGTTTATATAATCTGTTTTTCTACATAGCTCTTATACTTGTCATTCTAGTGTTAACACTTGGTTGTAATGTGTTAACCTACTGCAATCAGCTCAGCCTGGCTATTCCCCTAGAGTTGTACATTTGGGCTGACAGAGTGGCTGTGTCAGCATTCCATGGTCAGCTCTCTTTTTGTTAACTCCGTGTATATTCAACTCAAATTTCATTTCCAGTGTTACCACTTTTCATTTCATTGCTGCATTTTCATCTTTTTTGGTCAGTTTCCTCTTTCAGCTATTTATTTTTATAAAGTGTCACGTGGATTTACCCTGAGAGATAAGGAGGCAACACAACTACATGCTTTGCTATCTGTGTCTGAACTGAATAACAGATGCAAGTGACCAGTCACCAACAGACTTTGAAAGAAGTGGTGGGATTGGTCACACACTCCATGGTGCACATGTCCGTTATCTGTATATTGATTTGTGTACTGAGAAGTTAGAAGTGCTGTATGTAATTGCTCATAGTTAATATACCACAGTCATTGAAATTTGAACTGTGTTGAAGGACTAGTGTTTTTTAACTAAACCATGGTGACTGAAATATGTATATATTGGAACCATTCAGAGCAAGGACTGCCTGTATTTAGAAGTTGCTTTCTTTTCCTGCACGTTCCTAATCAGTCTAGCAGTGACTGAGGTCTTGGTGTCTACGTGGCTATTTCATTGACATCATATTGTAGAGCATGATTAAGATTTGTTTCATTAACTTTTTATGTTCATATCTTAGTATTTTCTCCCCTCAGGCCATATTCCTAAAGCTTGGATTAGCACTGCTATGGACCTTCACGTAGATGAGTAAGTGATACATAAAAAGTCTAATTTTAACTCTCTTTCTATCCTTTCACGTTTGCTGCTTTCCAGATTTTTTTTTAGATTTAACCTTTAGAATTTTTTTTAAAAATTGTATTCATTTTTGAATACACATAGTTTATGTTATTTAAAATTCCAAAGGTAGATAAAAGGGTATACAGGCCTGGGCGTGGTGGCTCCTCCTGTAATCCTAATACTTTGGAAGGTCAAGGTAGGAGGATTGCTTGAGGCCAGGATTTGGAGTTTCAGTGAACTATGACAATACCACTGCACTCTAGCCTGGGTGACAGAGCAAAACCCTGTCTCAAAAAAAAAAAAAAAAAAATACAATGAAAAAAGACTCCTGCCTCTGTCTCCAGTAACCCAGTTCCTCTCCCCAAAAGTGAGCAATATAATCCATTTTTTGATAGATACCCCTTTTAGGCTATACAGAAGTAGACTTATCAAGTTGCATGGACCATTCCTGTTTGATTTTTCTCCTCAACAAGCATTCATTCTGCAGCATCTCATGGTACACCCCAGTGCTATGGCATTATTCTAATTTTGCCCATGAGGATACCAAAATTGAGCAATGTCAAGTGGCCAGTTGAAGGTCACAAGTGGCAGTCGAGTAATGGCACTGGAGTGTATTGTTCTAATTATCCCCCATGTGCTTTGCACAGATAAAGGTTTAGTCTGTATTTGCTGCATAAATGTCA